CGGCCAAAGGTATAGGACCTGAATTGCCTAATGGATCCACTAGTCTAATCTGAAAAGGATTCATCTAAAAAGTATGATCCTTTTCTACCCATGGTGGCTAACATGGTTCTATGGGGGCTGTGGGTTCTTTGAACTCTCCCCCAATTCGGTGCTCGATACTACTCCCAAAAATGTACTGGCTCTTTTGTTTTTTAAAAATATTTTTTCCTGCTGATATGAGATAATTACTCAAAAACTTGCCCGAAGGCTCTTTTGGAAATCTCAGTTTCCAACCTTGTTTAAATGTAAAAACATTTCTTTAAAAACTTCTTTGGGAATACATAGTTCCCTAATAACTTTGAGAAATGAACTCAACTTTAAACTCTTTACTTGACTTGCAACTTGAGCCTTAGAATGAAGTAAAAACGTTCAATAAAGACTCTCGCACAACTTTGAAAACTTGCTTGAACTAACTTCTTAACCTTGCTTGACTTGACTCTAACTTCTCTTTAACTTGATTCTAACTCGCCTTGAATTGAATTATGGATTCAAGGGATATAATCACCTGTTATGAATGAGTTCTAGACATTTAAACGCAACTTGAAGTGTTGGAAACAACTTGGAAACATAGGTACAATAAGAAATGCAGAAACATGGCATTGACGGGGGTGATCTACGGACCGTAGGTCCATTCACGGTCCGTAAGTCATGACCGTAGATCAGTAGGCTAGGTATTGAGGACAATTCAGGGAAAAATCTGACCAAGTGTGGAACCACGGTGTCCATCGACGGTCCGTAGATTGATCTACGGACCGTACTGTGGATCCGTAGAATGATACTGTGAGGGTTTCAGTACCTGAATTTTTGAAGATTCTAAGTGTGGAGTTACGGAGGGTATCGACGGTCCGTAGATCGATCTACGGACCGTACCTCTAGTCCGTCGATTGCTTCTGAGAAACTGACTATTTTTGGGGTCCTCCTTTTTCTCCAGCTCTAAACCCTCCCAAAACAAGGTTTCAGCCCATACACTTGGAAGCACAAAAATCCCTCAACATACCATAGATTACAACACAAATACCAACCAAACAATACAACTATCAACTTCAACAACTAATCCAATCCTTCCTCAATAAATAAAAGGGCTAGGTGGGTGGTGGAAAGGATCACCCAACACTAAAAGCTCATATACCTTGGTAGGGATCACCCCCGACGAAAATCCACGATGATCTTGTCGGAAACTTCTTGATCTCCTCGATTTTTCCTCTTCTTCTTCTCCTCTTCTTCTCTTCTTCTTCTCTTCTTCTTCTCAAGCCCTAGCCTTCACTCTCTTAAAATGGAACAAAATGATCCAAAAAATCAGCCTAACACAACAATACATCCTCAAAAGAAATAACTAGGGAAAAGACCAAAATGCCCTTAATGATTCCCGGACGGATTTCCTTGTCAACTGCCCAACTTTCAAAGGGCCATAACTCGCTCATACGAACTCGGAATTGACCAAACTCGGTGGCGTTGGAAAGATCATTCCACAAGCTTCACAACCATAACTGGAACTACTTCTAAATCATCCTGATCTGGAAGTTATGACTGCTCAAAGTTGGCCAAAAACCACTGATTTCCACACTTAGCCAATTTTCCAGATTTTCAAATCCTTTCCAAAAAAATGAAAATTTTCAAATTCTAAGCCTCTTCTTAGCTATTTCAAATTGCCGGATATTACACACTAAACCTTCGCAAGGCAAGACACAACTCTATCCCTACTAGCTTTCTACCATAATACACGATCTCCACTCTTTCCTATTTAAAGTCATGTCCTCGGTAATATGGAGCTCTGTCATGTCCTATCTAATTACTTCTCCCCAATACTTTTTTGGTCTACCCCTACCTCTCCATGTCATCCAACCTATCGCACCTCCTCTCTAACGTGTCTCCTCAACACATGCTTAAACCATCTCAATATCGCTTCCCTCATCTTGTTCGCCATAGGGGTCACTCTCACCATCTTCTGAATGACCTCATTCTTAATCTTGTCACTCCTTGTATGTCCACACATTATACCTCAACATGCATTTTCTGAACATATCAATTCTTGAGTGGCCAACACTCCACCCCATACAACAAGGATAGTCTAACCACCACTCTGTAGAACTTACTTTTAAGTGTAGGTGGTACCTTCTTATCACACAAGACTCTGAAGGCAAGCCTTCATTTCATCCTAGACATGATACCACTCGAACCAAATAGAGATATTAGTACAAAAACTAAATAATTATAAACTAAGAATATAACTAGCCAAATACAAATATTAACTTGTAATATCTATATACTTTGGTTTAAGTAGATTTTGAGTTAGAATTCCTTTTGTAATTTACTTAATTCTAGTATTCTACTTTATTTTTGTTTTTAATTATTTTTTATTTGGCCTACGAGCTGGTCCAGCCCACATTGCTCAAGCCCCATATAAAGTTGGCAATTCAGCCTTAGGAATAACAAAAATCTAGAGTTTTGGCAACGTTAAAAGTTCAGACTTTGGAAATGGTGGAAACTCCGGCTTTGGGAATTCTGGTAATTTAGGCTTTGACAGAGTTGACAGCTTAGGTTTCGGAATTTCAAGGAATTCAAGCTTTGGTAAATTTGGGATTTCAGGTAAATGCGACCTACCCAATATTTAAGTTATTGGAACTGTTTTTGTAGAATAAATATTTCTAGTGGCAACCATTATCGCCACAATAAGAGTTTCTAGTGGCGTCCTTAAGAAGTCGTCATAAATAACATTTAGTTTTGGAACTACTTGCCAGTTTCAAGAGCGCTCAGTTTGCTGCTAAAATGATTTTGTTTCGACTTTTTGGGCTTCAGTAGCGATAAGTCGCCACTGAAAGCTCAATTTCTAATTGTTGCATCAATCATGAATGAGTTTCTAAATTCTATAGTCAAAGAATTAGATGATAGCTCACACAATAGGCAATCCCTCTTCTATTGCTCTTGATAGAAATTAGCATTGGCATGGACAGGGTCCCCTCTCTAATTCTAATACAAAACATGTTTATAATTAATCTCAACATAAAATTTGCAAAAGAGATATAGTGTTTGGTTGGGGGGGGAGGTGTAGGCATCATTTCCTTTATAAATAACTAGTCACGCGTAGGGTGCTAAAATTTATCATTAAATCTATTTACAATTTTTTTTAGTTTAATTAAAAGTATTTTCACAAATCCTTTCCAAAAATGAAAATTTTCAAATTCTAAGCCTCTTCTTAGCTATTTCAAATTGTCGGATGTTACACTTATTTAGTTAGTTTTTTTTTTTTTACATTTTCTTTGCAAACTTTAGTTATTCATTCTCAAAAATTAACCTTTCATGTTATTTAGCTTTAATATTTTTATATGTGCATTTCCATGATTGTGCCGTGGGTTTTTAAAATTAAACTTTCATCTTATTTAACTTAAAAATAAAACTTCCATCTTATTTAACTTTAAAATAAAATTTTCATCTTATTTAGCTTAAAAATTAAACTTTCATCTTATTTAGCTTAAAAATAAAACTTTCATTTTAAGTTTATCAAAGTAAAAGAAATTTATTATTAAAGTTATCTACATTTTAATGGATACATGGAATATAATTTTTAATTGAGTAATAAACTATGTAATTCAAAATATGTAATTTAGTAGTGGAGTGAATATTTTAAGAGAAATGAAAATA